AAAAGAAACGAGACAGACACATTGAGAGTATGCATAGAAATTGGGAAAAATCGGTTCAGATTTAGATATAGCTCCAATATATATTTTCGTCCGATTTAAGGTAAATGGGGCAGCAAAGTCCCTCTATATCTTTCGATTTGAATGAAATTTGGCATAAACTACTGAACTACAAGTTTCGAGAAAATCGGTTCAGATTTAGATATAGCTCCCATATATATTTTCGTCCGATTTAAGGTAAATGGTGCACCAAAGTCCCTATATATCATTCGATTTGCATGAAATTTGGCATAGAGTACTGAATTAGGTCCAGAATGATGTGTGCCAAGTTTCGAGAAAATCGGTTCAGATTTAGATATAGTTCCAATATATAGTTTCGTCCGATTTAAGATAAATGGTGCACCAAAGTCCCTATATATCATTCGATTTGCACGAAATTTGGCATAGAGTACTGAATTAGGTGCAGAACGATGTGTGCCAAGTTTCGAGAAAATCGGTTCAGATTTAGATATAGCTCCCATATATAGTTTCATCCGATTTAAGGTAAATGGGGCACCAAAGTCCCTCTATATCTTTCGACTTGCATGAAATTTGGCATAGAGTACTGAATTAGGTGTAGAACGATGTGTGCCAAGTTTCGAGAAAATCGGTTCAGATTTAGATATAGCTCCCATATATAGGTTCGTCCGATTTAAGGTAAATGGGGCACCAAAGTCCCTCTATATCTTTCGATTTGCATGAAATTTGGCATAGAGTACTGAATTAGGTGCAAAACGATGTGTGCCAAGTTTCGAGAAAATCGGTTCAGATTTAGATATAGCTCCCATATATAGTTTCGTCCGATTTAAGGTAAATGGTGGACCAAAGTCCCTCCATATCCTTTGATTTGCACGAAATTTGGCATAGAGTACTGAATTAGGTGCAGAATGATGTGTGCCAAGTTTCGAGAAAATAGGTTCAGATTTTGATATAGCTCCCATATATAGGTTCGTCCGATTTAAGGTAAATGGGGCACCAAAGTCCCTCTATATCTTTCGATTTACACGAAATTTGGCATAGAGTACTGAATTATGTGCAGAATGATGTGTGCCAAGTTTCGGAAAAATCGGTTCTGGTTTCGATATAGCTCCCATATATAGGTTCGTCCGATTTAAGGTAAATGGTGCCCCAAAGTCCCTATATATCATTCGATTTGCAAGAAATTTGGCATAGAGTACTGAAATAGGTTCAGAATGATGTGTGCCAAGTTTCGAGAAAATCGGTTCAGATTTAGATATAGCTCCCATATATAGTTTCGTCCGATTTAAGGTAAATGGGGCACCAAAGTCCCTCTATATCTTTCGACTTGCATGAAATTTGGCATAGAGTACTGAATTAGGTGTAGAACGATGTGTGCCAAGTTTCGAGAAAATCGGTTCAGATTTAGATATAGCTCCCATATATAGTTTCGTCCGATTTAAGGTAAATGGTGGACCAAAGTCCCTCCATATCCTTTGATTTGCACGAAATTTGGAATAGAGTACTGAATTAGGTGCAGAATGATGTGTGCCAAGTTTCGGGAAAATCGGTTCAGATTTAGATATAGCTCCCATATATAGTTACGTCCGATTTAAGGTAAATGGTGGACCAAAGTCACTCCGTATCCTTCGATTTCCATGAAATTTGGCATAGAGTACTGAATTATGTGCAGAATGATGTGTGCTAAGTTTCGGGAAAATCGGTTCTGGTTTCGATATAGATCCCACATATACATATATATTCGTTCGATTTTACATAAAAGGTGCACCAACCTTCTAATGTTTGTCCGATTAACACGATTTTTTGCACAACGTATCAAGTTGAGACTTGAATAACGTTATTGCGTTTTGTTGAAATTGATGTAGATGCGGTCATAGCTTCCATATGTATATCGAATGGATGTCTGAATGAAATTAAAAATTTAACAGTGTGGCGACCGAATAGCGTATATTAATTTTGCTATAAGTCGTTTTTCATAAATTTGTCCCATGGTACGAATTCGACTTTAAATCTGCCCGAATGAAATTAAATTTATCATAGGTTGCAGAAAGACTTGCGTATGTTCCATGGAGGGGATACATATGTACAATATACCCAAAGTGGTGAAGGGTATCATATAGTCGGCCCAGTCCGACTTTAGTGCTTTCCTTACTGTTTTTTTTTTTAGAGTTGACCATCTGCGTCGAGACATCACAAGAAATTGCCCTACAGACCCCATTTTTATGGTTTCCATCTTGCAAACTTTAGATAAAATCGCACATTTTATTCGCTTGATATTGGACTAAAAAATGTGTGGAGGTGCCAGAAGGAGAGGTCCAATGGGTCTTATATTTGTGCTGTGGAAAGTTCGCATGAAATTTGTATGTTCCGCTGACTTCATATAAGATTTATTATTTCAAAATTTTGACCAACTTATGGGGGAGGTATCAGAAGCAGTGGACCGATATTTCCCTGTCTTCGAAAATTCCAACGGTGTTAGAAAGAGTACATGTCTGGCTCTCGTATGAACTAGAATTATTGTCTTCGCTCTAAAATTAACAAAATGACGGACCTTTGAAAAAAATATTTTTCGAAAATCGCCGATTTTTGACCAAAAACCAAAAAATGTGCAAAGTTTGGATCAAATTGGTTTCGTGGACGGTATACCAATTTAGTCGAGTCTTTCATATATCAAAGCCCTTCGATAGGTCAAGTGCCATCCCAAATGTTCGATGTGTTGAAATGCATGGTTGTATCCGCTGACAAATGTTCATCGATGTATTTCAATTATTCAGCACTGAAGCCGGAATTCATTAGTTACAGTTACGGTCTCTAATTCGAATCGAAATTGAAGAAAATAATATGAGTTATTACAGACCTACTTCTACAGCTTGAAAAACTATTGAGCGGAGCAGTGTAGCCGGACGGGGCCGACCATATGACATCCTATACACAACATCCACGAAAATCTAACTTTCTGTGGTTCTATATTCTGAGCTTAGGCAATATTTCGCGATATTTGCATTCCCTTCACCGTGGGTTGTGTTGCGGTGTAGTGATCGATTCGGAAAAACACAAAATATTAAGTTTTTGGTCCACTTCGTCCGAAAATTATTATCTGATCATCATCGAAAATTATAGGCGTTGTCCTTGACCATAACTGGAACATCAGCGCTATATTTCGCCCTCCAGTATGGTAATGGATTACTAAATAATATTTGAATACGTAAGCATCTGTAAATATTTTAGAGTAACTCCCAAATCCCAGTTCTTACGACAATATAATTGGTATGGATTTAAATGTCAAGCACTTCCCTTGGATATACTATCAACTTCTCATATCTATATCCTACAGGGGTAAATATATACTCCATGGAATATAAATTTTGTAATTGTTCACACAAAAGTCAGGGTCCATTTGACCCGCTAAATATTCAGCGATCTTTATCAAAACAGCCATGCTTATTCTTTGGCCCGATCCCCTTATCGATGTTTTGGCCATAATTGCGACCTCTGGAGCGACCAGAAAATCAGACAAAAATAAAGTTTTAGGTCCATTTCATCGCCTAAATATTAACCGATCTTTACCAAAAAAAAATCATGGGTCAGAACCCATCCTACATAGAAAATTTCGTGAAGATAGGTCTATAACTGTGGCCTGAATCGTGTTTACAAATCGACTCGACTAGAGATGACCGGTATCGGCATTCTTAAAATATTTCGCAGCGTTACAAACTCTTGGGGCTGCACAAAGCCATAATACCCTGACAACATAGCTGTGTGGGGTGTAAAAATATTATTGTAAAATGCTTATGGATAATACAAATACAGTAGATATCGGATATAAGAAACCCAAAAAAGCCGGAGATTTCTTTCTTTTATGCGTTTTTTTTCTTATATGGATTTACAGTATTCCCCGCTTAATTACCTCCACGCTTAATTACCTTCCACGGTTAACTAATCCGATTTCAGAACACCCAGTTATTTTCAGTAAAATCCCTTACAAAATTGCACGTTTAATTACCCCCTTTTAATTACCCATTTCATTTATTTGCCCCTAAATAACCTACCCCAAAGTAACCGTACCTTTAAATCTGTCCCATGTAATTACCCAATGTATTTTTTAGATCTGGTAACTTCACTTAAAATGGCCTACTATTGATTTGAAAGTTTTCGTGAAATGTCTCCCAGAAATACATTTTGTCTATCAAACTAAAGCTCCAGTTAATACCTCAAGCAAAATAGAAAGAAAAAACAAAACACCTTGCTGGGTAATTAACCGGGGTCCACGGATAATTACCCTATCGAGGTAATTAACCGTGCACTCCTAATTACCTTCCACGGATAATTACTCAAAAATCTTGAAATTTTCACTGAGGTAATTAAGCGGGGTTTACTGTATAGAATATAAGAAAGTATAATCTCGGTGTTTTTGATCATCTTTCTTATATGCGATTTTTTCTTATATGAGATATGCTTATATCCGATATCTACTGTATTGATCTAAATCTTATTCAGGCCTTTCAACAGACACACCTTCTGTTGTTCATTTATAGTGTCTCGATATAAAATTTTACCCGTCTACTTTCAGGCACACTTCACAAATTTGGACTCTGAACTTTAGTTTAGTGGAAACAACCACATCGACTTTGAAAATGATTTACTTTACTAAAAACTATGGCTTTTATTTTATTTTGAAATAAAAAACAAAAAAATCTTGTCTTGTCATTCCCCACACAAAGAAAAATGTAAACAAATAAAAAATTCTCTACATATCAGCTGAGATATCCGCCACAACCAATAGGTCAGTTACACGAAGAGATAACATAAAAGACTCTCATGCGGATTATGTTGCTCTTATGCAAACAAATCTCTCTGTTATTAATTAATTATGAATGTTAATATGTTTTAAAACATGTTATTGTTGTTGTTGTTTTTCTTCTACAAGTTTTTATTTCAACAGTTGATGTTGTTGTTCTGTGTTTTTGTTTTATTTCATCACTAACCCACTTACCAATCATTCGTTTCATATCAACAATTTCCTTGCGTCCCCAAAAGAACGCAGCCATTTCATCCGAATTGAAGCTGGCATTTTTACGTTCAATTGCCAGATCGGGATTTACGGTTGTGGGTATTTCGATTTTATTCATTTTCTTTTCGATTTTAATTATTTTAATTTTCTTAATTAAATATTGCAAAAAAATTAATTATTTTTTCACACACACAATCACTTGATGTTTACACTCAACCCGTCCGATCGATCTGCCTCTAGTTGCGATCGCTGTTCGCGTACGACTAACAGGTTTCATTGGTAAATATTTACATTTCAGCTTTAAGAGAGTCAACCAAGGAATGGTTACTCTTTGTTTTAAACAAAATAAACAAAAAAAAGCTTTTGATAGGCCAAATCAGCTGTTGATAAGAGAAAAAATTGCTGGCCAGCTATTTATTTATTTTATTGTAAATTAAACAAAAACAATTAATATTAGCGGGGTAAAAGGGGGAAATGCAAGTTTTCAAGGTCCCGTACGCTAAACAGAACTTTATAATGTACCCTTTAAAATCTACTATTTGACTCGCATTTTAATCTCTAACAACATCTCAATCCGCTCTACCGATTTACAATAAAACAATAATCGGCTCATTGAAAGCCCATAGTCCAAATTTTCTATCTTAGTTTGAAGTTTGGCTTTCATTTTTGGCCAAGAGGAGGGGCAAAGTCCGAATCAACATTTGAGGTAGCATAGTTTGACTTGACCTTTGTTCGATCTTTGTTAATGGAAATAAAACTGTCATAGTATCGGAAATATTGAATAAAACATTAAAAAAAAATCCTGTAAAACTTGAAAAATAATCTTTAAAAAAATCCACGCCTTGGATAGATTTAAAAAAATAATCTTTAAAAAAATCCACGACTTGGATAGACTTGAAAAAATAATCTTAAACCTTGGATAGACTTGAAAGAATAATCATTAAAATAATCCACGCCTTGGATAGACTTGAAAAAATAATCTTTAAAAAATCCACGCCTTGGATAGGCCTTGAAAAAATAATCTTTAAAAAAATCCACGCCTTGGATAGGCCTTGAAAAAATAATCTTTAAAAAATCCACGCCTTGGATAGGCCTCTGAAAAATCTTTAAAAAAATCCACGCCTTGGATAGGCCTTGAAAAAATAATCTTTAAAAAAATCCACGCCTTGGATAGACTTGAAAAAATAATCTTTAAAAAAATCCACGCCTTGGATAGACTTGAAAAAATAATCTTTAAAAAATCCACGCCCTGTTTTGGCCCTAAAAAATATTCTTTAAAAAAAATCCACGCCCTGTTTTGGCCCTAAAAAAATATTCTTTAAAAAATCCACGCCGTGTTTTGGCCCTTGAAAAAAATATTCTTTAAAAAATCCACGCCTCTTTTAGGCGTTGAAAAAATATTCTTTACAAAAAAATCCACGTTTATTTGTCTTCAAA